AATCCTCACCTTTGAGAAGCAGAAAACACAGAATGTGGGCATTTTTGCACGAAAAATACCTAATCGATTATTAAATATTTTTCTGATTAATTTTCTGTCATCTGACTAATCGATTAATCAACTAATTGTTGCAGCTGTTTATGTGTGTCTTTCACCCCACCAATCCTTACCTCAGATAAAGCTTCAGTGCACTCGTTATTGTCTTAATGTCCCAGTCCTCGCTGGTAGACAGATCCACTTCGTTGCTCGTCTCATCTGAATGAATCACAATCATAAAACATATTCTTACTAGAATGAATGCTCATTGACTGAGGTACCAACACAAAGCACCAGCTAACTACTCTTTTTTGCATTAATGAACCACAGAAAGATTTTTTTGGGCAGCCTAGAAAGTCCAAATATGCAATATAAATATGTAACTTGTAATTAGCCATGTGAGGATAAAAGCAGTGCTAGTAGCCTTGGGGGTCGAGTCTAGCCCCAGTGGATATGGAAGGAAGTTATAGCTTCTGTAGAGGGCTGCTGGTTCTATACTCATTACAAGTTTAATTAATCCCTTACTACTTCATTGACTCCACAGGGACTCAAGGGCTGTGTTGTGCTGAAAATTCAGGGGGCTTTAGTCACACCTTAAGTAACCTCTGATGAATTACAGAGGATGTGGAAGTGCAATGTGTCAGTGAAGTGTTATGAGTTAGACACTTGTACAGTACAGTGCTCAGGTCAACACACAGACTTTAGCTTTGTGGGTGGTAGGTGGTCTGTGTTACTGGGAAATTTATTTTTTTGATTTCATCCAAGCACTGCAGCAAAGACTGCTGTGTTTCTCCGCCTGCTCGGTCCACTCAACGGCCTGTCCAATATCAGCTTCTTAAAGCAAATGTTTTTGTGGAGTCTTTGTAGCCAAAGCCGTGCCTCCGTAAGTATGTATGTTGAGATTGATGGGGTCTGCACAGGCTCTGTAGTCTGATCTAACACAAACAGGCTTGGACTTGGTTAGGTCAACGACACAAAAACACATTTTTGGCAGCAGGGTTGGAGTAGTGATTATAAAACTGCTAACCACAAAGCAGCAGCAAGTTTAAAGGTGTAATTCTTTTTTTTTGTACATTGGTTACCTAAATTAAGCCCTCGAGGACATTACTGCACTGTGTCGTGACTTTAACATAGCAGCTAAAGTTGGAACTGCAGCTCCTGTAATACACTTCGATGCAGTTTCACCATAAAAATACATTCCAAAAGAATGTTAAACTAGAAGATTTCCTGACAGATGTCACAATTTCAAGACTAAGGATAGGTGGATTGACAAACCGGTCCAATGAGTGTGAAAGTGAGTCCAAGAAAACCATAACCAAATAACATGTATTGGATACAACCGAAATAAACAATAGTGTAGACATTTGCAGTAACAGATAAAAGGAACACATGGTTGTGCGACATATGTGCTGTAGGCAAGTTGAACGGTACCACAATTTAAAAAGGAAAAGCTTTACCAACTGGTAAAAAGAGTGAGCAAATGTGCCAGCTTTTACAGTCTAGTGCAGTGATTTCCTACATTTTTGGCTTCAACTTTTTTTTTCCTTTCCTATCTTTTTAATCATCTTACGACCCCTTAAGCTAAAGTGCTTGTTAGATGGTCAAATAGCTTCAGAAATCCCCGCACCTTTCTGATGTCAGATTAGGGGTTCTGTGTCCAATCATTTATGTAACTTTCCGGAACTGAGAATCTGACATTCACACCCAC